CGGCCCTTGGACAGGCCGGGGGAGGCATTTAAATGCCTCCCCGATCCTTCCAAAGGGCCCCCTGGCCCACCCACCTTGGAGTCGCCGGGGTTTTTTTGCTCTCCAGGCCTTCCCTCTGTAGCCACGCACGCAGAGGTTTTGGCTGTAGTGGGCGTGGCCAACTCTGAAGCCGGCCGGAACGCCGTTCCTGTGTGTTCCTGCCCCAAAGTAGCCCTGAATTACCATCGTCATTATAAAAAAGATTTTCAGCTGCCTTCCCACCCAACGCTATATTTATTTATTCACTTCACTTATACTCCGCTTTTCTCTAAAGTGAGGATCCAAGTTGGCTTATGATCTCCCTCTCCTCCATTTTATCCTCATAATGACAACCCTGTCAGGGAGGACAGGCAGGCCCGAGGTCTCCAAGGGGGCTTCTGTGGCAGCGTGGGGACGTGGAACCTGGGTCTCCCAGACACTGATTTGACATTCTTGACCACTACACCCCACTGGAAGGCAGTGGACGTTAAAAGCATCAAAACGTTTGAGCCATTCAAAATAAAGTGAAAATTGTGAAATACTTCAATTAAAAACACATAAACCAACAACACAAGACAGAGGGCTGGCCAGCAGCAGGACTCATTTTTTAAAAAAAGCAGGAGGGGGGTCTTCCAGCTTCCTGGGGGGGGGAGGAAGAGATACGGCTGCCGCCTCTCTTAAAGCACGGGCAGTAAGAATTTGTATCCTGACCTCTGCAACAGCTCAAGGATTGAAATAAAACAAAAAGAGGATCTTCCTTGCTGCAATCTCCCAGCGACTAACGTGTGCAAAGGCTTTTCCTTACTTAAAGGCATTTACTGCTGAGCAGCGCAGCTCTTGCGTTTTGCCTTTTCCCCCAAAGCATCAAGAATATTCACAGTCTATGATAAAAGGGGATCCTATAGATCACTCTGCATTACTTCCGTGCCAACGAAAGTGATGGGCCACGTCAAACGAGAGCCGTGTTTTTGCCACAACACTTGATTTGTCAGACAGATGGATAATTGAAAGGCCAAGCGCTTGTCCGCTGAGGAAAACGGCGGCAGGGTCAGAACGGCCAACATTCCAAGCCAGACTGCTGATCGGCATATCCCGAGTGACGTTTCTGCACTCAGGATTCTCGGAGAGAGCCGGAATGTCGTCTGATTTGTAGCGGGGCGCTCACAGCAGATGAGACGTCAAGACATCCCAGCCGAACCACAGCCCCATATCAGAGCAAGAGGAGGACAAAGAGACCATTACTAAGCTTTTGATCTTGGCCCCATCCTGCATTTACCAAAACGTAGGGTGAACAGTAAGGGACTTAGCTGCAAAACAGAATTACGATTCCGCACTGTCGTTCTTTTATATAATTGGCAATGTGATTAATTGAAGCCTTGTGTGTAAGATCCTAAGGGTAGAGGAATTCCTTTGTCCCACGCTAGCTAGACCTGGGCAGTTGTGCATGAGCATTTCAGTGCTGGGTTTGCACGGCAAAGAGTAAGTAACACACTAATTTTTTAAAAAATTCCAAATAACCGTTCTCGAAATAATAAAATGATAAAAGGGTTGGAACACTTTCCCTATGAGGAAAGGTTAAGGCGCTTAGGGCTCTTTAGCTTGGAGAAACGATGACTGAGGGGTGACATGATTGAGGTTTATAAGATTATGCATGGGAAAGAGCAGGTAGAGAAAGAGGTACTTTTCTCCCTTTCTCACAATACAAGAACTCGTGGGGGCACTCCATGAAATTGCTGCGTGGTCGGGTTAGAACGGATAAAAGGAAGTCCTTCTTCACCCAAAGAGTGATTAACACTTGGAATTCACTGCCACAGGAAGTGGTGGCGGCTACAAGCATGGACGGCTTCAATGGGGAATTAGATAAGCATATGGAGCAGAGGTCCATCAGTGGCTATTAGCCACAAGGCAAGTGATGCTCTGTCTTCTTGGTGCTTGGGGAGGTCAACAGTGGGAGGGCTTCTAATGTCCTGGCCCCACTGGTGGACCTCCTGATGGCACTGGTATTTCTGGCCACTGCGTGATACAGAGTGTTGGGCTGGATGGGCCTTTGGCCTGATCCAACATTGGTGTCTCTTATGTTCTTATGAAATGAGTGGGGGCAGGAGTTTAGCAGGATTCTACTAAAAAAGGACCCCAGAACCCAGCCCCAGACGTGGTTCCTGGCTACTTACAAGTATAATCCAACTGCCGTCCTATCAAATCCAACATAATTGTAGGTGGGGAAATGGCTCGGAAAGACCAACAGTGTCATATTTAATTTTCAAAAGCAATGAAATAGAGAGGATTAGATACAGAAGAAGAAGAGATTAGATTTATACCCTGCCCTTCACTTGGGAGTTCTCAGACTGGCTTACTGTCTCCTTCCCTTCCTCTCCCCACAACAGACACCCTGTGAGGTAGGTGGGGCTGAGAGAGCTCTGAGTGAACTGGGAATGGCCAGAGGTCACCCAGCTGGCTGCATATGGCGGAGTGGGGAAATCAAACCCGGTTCTCCAGATTAGAGTCTGCCACTCTTCCCCCCCCCCAAACGGGCAAAGCCCTTATTCTTCATTATTTTAAACATATATATAAACCAACAAACAAACAAGATGAAATAAAATGAAGATCCTTCTCCGGAATTATTGACTATAAATACAGCAGAAAAACCTAAGCCCTATCTTACCTTCACATATGGTGGAGGTGTGATAAATTGCAAGCATTTTGGGAAACAAATACACAAAATCTTTTTAGAGACGTTTAAAATAAACATCCCTCTAACGCCTGAAACATATCTGCTTAATATGATTCCGGATAATATAAAAGACCACAAACATATAATAATTTACACCTTAACAGCAGCAAGAATGTTGATAGCTAAACGTTGGAAGTCGAAAGCCATTCCATCCATAAAAGAACTTAAACACAAGATTCTGGATATAGCGGAAATGGACAAGCTGAGGTTGTTGCTGTTCAGTCGCACAGTCGAGTCCGACTCTTCGCGACCCCATGAACCACCTCATGCCAGGCCCTCCTGTCTTCCGCTGTCCTCTGAAGTTGGCTCAATTTCATGTTCGTTGCGTCGATGACACTGTCTAACCATCTCATCCTTTGCCGTCCCCGTCTTCTTTGACCTTCAATCTTTCCCAGCTTCAGGGTCTTCTCCAGTGAGTGTTCCTTTCTCATTTGGTGGCCAAAGTATTTGAGCTTCAGTTTCATTATCTGGCCTTCCAGGGAACAGTCAGGGTTGGTTTCTTTTAGGACTGACTGATTTGATCTCCTTGCAGTCCAAGGGACTCTCAAGAGTCTTCTCCAGCACCATCGTTCAAAAGAATCTATTCTTCGGCGCTCGGCCTTCCTTATAGTCCAACTCTCGCAGCCATACAGGACTACTGGGAATACCATTGCTTTGACCATGCGGACTTTTGATGTCTCTGGACAGTAACAAAAGGCTAAAAGCTGAGTTTAGCATTGAACAATAAACCAGAGGATATCTTCTGGAATAGATGGAAGATAGTTTACGATTGGCTAAAACACAAGAACATAGAATAATATTTAGTTAATGCTAGTTTAAAGTAACAGATTGAAAGTAACAGATGGACTTATATTCGGAATTTATGTATAACTTAAAAGTTGACTTATGTATGATCTTGATGTGAAAGGAAATGTAATTATGAAATAAATTTATTTTAAAAAATAAAAAAAATAAAAACCTAAGCCCTCTTTGAGTGTGGATCCAACCACTCATAGAATCTCCGCCATACATTTTGAAAAGTCCCATCTTCTTTTCCACGTATTTTCAAAGTAAGATTGTCCAGTTCTGCCATTTCTAGAATCTTAGTTACATAGTCTTTATGAGTTGGGCAGTCTTCTTTCTTCCAGTGTTTAGCAAGTGTCATTCTGGCTGCTGTTACCAGATGTGTGCATAGATAAACATCTTTCTTCTGCAGTACGTCTGGCACGATATTTAATAAAAACATTTCTGGTTCAAACGGAAGTTTGGTAT